TGAGCTATGTTATCAAACAAATTCCAACCGATTATTTAAAGTTTGGTGCATCATACAACAATGATTTTGTACAACATTTGAAAAAGTATATGCATGTCGAGGCTTTTGAATTGTTTACAAATTTTAGTTTTAGGTCGTATGTCGACACTCATACCTGCAACTAACAAGGTCAAGTATCCAAATGTTTGTTTCTTCTTGAGGTTGAGCAGGATAACTGTAATGAACTTCATATTTGTCATGCGAATAGGAACATTTTGCGCTTCACTATAAAGGAATTTGCAATAATAACAGGATTGAAATGCATTGGATATCCCAACGACTTTCAATACCTCTAAGAGCACCCTTATTGAGAGATACTCTCTTGATTTAGTTAATTCTAACAATATGAGCAAGGGACGACTTGTTCACCATTTTCTTCAAGGTAATTGGGATAACGATCAGGATGCTTTCCACATGGGAACTATCTACTTCATCAACACATTGGTATGTTCTCTCACAATAAACTGATTCACCTATCCATTTTACCGACTTCTTGATGACCGAAAACGGTACATATAGACATTTTTATTGGGGACACCATGTATTTTCCAGGTTAATGATATCATGAAGGCAAAAGAGAACCAAAGTAAAGTAGTTGTATTGCTTAAGTGGCATGCCTTATGCTCTAAATGTGTGGGTGTATGAATGTGCATCAGTTCTAAACGAGGAAATTGTTTTCAAGAAGGAGATTGCATCCCAAGGATGATAAATTTACGAGTTATTGGTATCAGGCCTAAATTTGAAATGTTTATGTGTACAATTTTTGCTGAGGTATCGATATTTTAAAAATAAATATTTCAAGTTCTAATTATTTTTCGTATGCGTAATGATCAAACCTTTTTTTAAAATGCATGTACCAACATACAACTGACTCCTGAAGAATACTTTGTACGTCAGCTGCCGGACAATCTGTTTGTCTGTTATTTAGAAAAGTTTTTGTCTACTGAAAAACCTACAGATTTCGAAGAGGATGACATTCTTGGGTTTGAGGATTCCTCCTCTAAACCACCAAATCAGATTGTTAGGAGGAGTGGACGCGTATCTGGTACATCATCTACACCCCACCCCCACCCTCCACTCCCCCAAAGAGAAGAAAGAAAATTGTTTTGATAGAAAAAATATTTTAATAGAACAACGCATATATGGTGTATCATCTACACCTCCCCCCTCGAAAGAGAAGAAAGAAAGTTGTTTTGACCAAACATGAAGTTTTAATGACCCTAAAGCTCCTCATTAGAATTTTGAATATTTGTTTAACTTAAGTCAATTAATCGATAGTTTATGGGCTAAAGTGATAATTTATTTAAGACCCTATACTCTTTAGCCTATATTTAATAAAAAAATGTGGGTAAAACCTATCACTTTTAGTACTTAAATAATTCAGAAAAAAAAATATAGGGAAAAGAAAAAAAAAAGGGCGAAGGGTTTTTGCACTTGCGGCTTACGAAATGCTTCATGTAAGTTTCCTTTGCCTCTAGTTCCTTTTGATTGCTGCACATATATGTGTGTATATAGCAATATTATATAGGTGATTATATATATGTGTATAATAATAAGTGATAGATCACATATTTGAGTCAAATTTTTTTTTGAATTGAATAAGAAATCACGTGACTAGTTGAAAAGTTCTGAAAATATTTGAATCAATTGTTAGTGGGCATTTAATGCTTAGTTGTGATTATTTGGTTACATTGATTATATAAATTATTTAGTGGGTATTGCTGGAAAGAAAGGAAAAAAACAATTAAAGAAAATGTCAAAGAAAAAAGAAAAAAAACAAATGTCATACACGCTATAATGTGAGGAAATTTATGGGTTGTTCAACGTGGCTTCTGGAAAAAAAAATTTAAAACTAAATTTTAATGCGTATATATATATATATATATATATATATATATATATATATATATAAATGTATATATATATAGGTAATGATTGCTATATTATGTGTGGTTAGTAGATAATTTAGTTTAATTTCTTATTCTTATCAGATTATGGGTTAAGTGTTGGAATATTAAAGTAAGTAATTAAATATTAGATCTATCATATTATATAAATACCAATCGAAATATGATTGTTGAAATGTTAATTGACATTAAAAATTACAAATTTGATTATAAATTTGGGGTGTATTATTAGGTCAAGGTTAAACACATAAAAGTGTGAGTGTTCTTAGTTCTAAAACCTTAATGTGAATATATATTTGAATAGATTCCATTGGTTCAGAAGCTCAACAGAAAGGGAAGGCTCAAGTCCAAGCGTAATTATTCGATTGGCTAAGGCAAGTGATTTTGTAAACTCTTGTTAAGCGTATGAAATTCGTGTATGTTCTTGTGTGATGTTGAAAATGATTTGAGACTTGTTGCTTATTTGTTGGTGTTGTATTCCTTGTTGTAAATTGCGCTTTGGTATCAAAATGGTTATCTCCTCATTTTCATTTGAGCATGTCATTCGCATTGTATATGAGACATGGTTGTGGTAAGAGAATGTACCATTTCGAGGTCGTATCGCACGCCGCGATGGATATCATATTTCGAAAGATGTATCGCGCACAGCAAAATTTACTATTATCGAGGATCGTGTCGTGCCCCGCGATAAATGCATGGACAGATATGTCCCCCATGCGTCCCGGACTGAGAGACAGTGGGTGAGTATCGTTAAGAAAGACATGCATCACTATGTTTGACATTACATATCATGGAATTGCACATTTATTATTGATGAACTTGAACACGTGTTTTGCTGATCTTGTGAGTGTTGTTCTGTGAAGCTTGTGACTGTTGAATATTGAGTTGTTATTGAGAATGTGTAAACTGATAGATCGTGGTTATTGAGTTGTGTGTTTGGTAAACTGTAAACTGTTAGGCTGTAGCGTGGAGGTCTAGATAGGGTGTAAGGAGTACCCGTATTTTGTTCACTTAACTTGTGTTTAGAGGTTTGCTTGTTGGGTACCGCGTTTTTTGGTGCTCACCCCTTGCGTCTACACATTTTTGTAGGTTACGAGCCCAAATTTTTGTGATACCTTACATTCTCTTCGTTTCTGAGGCATCTTGTGGATGATTGTGAAGTAGCTGCTTGTCATCTCAGCGAACTTTCTTACTCAAGTTTATGACTTTGTTTTTACTTGAAAGACAACTTCATTTTAGACTTCTATTTTGTTTGAATTCTAATATTTACATTAGAGGCTTGTGCACGTGACAACCTGATTTTGGGGATTGAATTAATATGACTTGGCTTTTTTTTTTCTTATAGAAATTGTTGTTGGATTGTCATTTACTTCCGCACTTTGTTAGATATTGGGTTTTAGGCTGACTTGTCTTTGTGGGATAAGACGAGTGCCATCACACCCATTTTGGGTCGTGACAAAAGTATTGCAGTGGAACAATCAAAACCCATGATACAAAAAGAACCATTGTCTATTCCAAATTTAGTAGGTCATTCATCTGAGCAGTTCCCTGTGATACAAAAAGAATCATTGTCTATTCCAGATTCATTAGGTCCTCTATTTGAGAAGTCCCGTTGTGATAAAATAAGAACCATTGTCTATTCCAGATTCAGTCAGCCCTTCATGTGAGCAGTCCCTTGAGATATTAAAAAACCATTGTCTATTCCAAATTCAGTAGGTCCTTCATTTGAGCAGTCCCTTGTGATACAAAAAGAACCACTGTCTATTTCAGATTCAGCTGGTTCTTCATTTGATCCCAAAGAAAAGAATGATTTTTAAGAAATCGAAGGAGTTAAGCAATATCTCATGAAATATGTAAGTGATTCATAGTTATTATTGTATGATCTCAATTGATCCACAATCAATCATCATTAATTACTTTTGTATTTTTAAAGGTGGGCAATAAGTTTGGTGATCTTAAAGTCTTTATTAAAGATAATCTCAACATTTTGATGAAATCAGTACGGATGATAAAACAAAAGCTAAAATGGAAGATAGTTGTTATTTTATTTTTTTAATTAGTTGAAAAGATATTATTCTAATTATATTGTTTTTTTTTTACCTGGAAGAAAAAATCTACCTGATCATTTTCAATCTCAGATGAAGAGGTAATTGAAGAAGACAATGTGAATCAACCCAAAACTGCTAATCAATTTGTTGAACCTAGTTGTCCAATTGATATGGAGTTTGTAAACAATGTCCTTGTTGATAACCCTGATGTGGAGGTTGAAGAAGAAACACATATACAACAATATGAGGTCTTAGAAGTATGAATCGTATACATTCAATTAAATATTTAATATTTAATAAAGTATCTAACACCAGATGATACATTATTATAACTGATACAACTACAAACAAGAATTTGAGAAATATTTATAAGTGTAGTAGTAACAATATGTTTAAATTTCAAGTTTAAGATTAGTTTCAATTGTTGAATCATTTTTATTTGAGAAATATTCTAATCAACATAGGATGATGATATATTAAAGGATAAAAGAGGCAACAATTATATATTTGAACCACCATCTACAGTAGATGTTGCTCTTGTAGGAACTGTATCAGCCAAAATTTCTGTAAGTTTAAGTTTATGTATAAGACATAGTTTAATCATTTAATGTACCATAAATTGATCATGTAGTATAATTTATTGATCTTGTTATATTATTGTTTGAATTAGTTACCTTTTTTCATTTCATAGTTTGCCGATACATTAAAGGATCCACAAGCTGGTGAGGAAGTAAACGATGAAGTTGTAAGTATACGTTTATGTATAAATATATTAATTTATTCATATAATAATGTATTCACATATAATGTAGTATTTGTTCCATTTTTGATAAATTTATTTTTTTAATTAGGTAATATTTATATTATGTTGATACAATGAAGGATCAAAGAACTGATGAGGATGCATCCAAGGAAGTTATTGTAAGTATAATTTTACGTATAAATATCATGTTGGTTATCAGGGTGATGTAGTAGAGATTAGAACAAAAAAAACTGAGCAATCATCTTCGGTTCAAGATATTTTTGATAAATCGCAACATAACATCCCTCTTCAAAAAGATGTTCCAGTAAACATTGATACATCGGTAAATTCTAATTTTTTTCTTTGATTGGTTACTGGTTATGAATGATACAATTTTCTTATTATTGATTTAAAAATATAGAATTCTACCACATCGACATCCATTTCTGATGAAACCCAAGAAGCTATAGGCGTACTTATTGCAGGCATTCACTCTTTTGTGTGTTCAACCATTTAGTGTTGTCAAGTCACATCCATTAACCGTACACATCACTTTGTACCTGAAAATATATCACCCATTGAAATATTAGGTAATGAGATTCTAGTGACAAAGGAAAACAGAAAGTTGAAGAAGAAGTTCGTTTGACCTTCCCATTTGATGGATTTGGTATTTCTTACAAACTTCCATCAAATTTATTGGATGAATATTCCAATTAGTTTTCTAAAGGTCTCCTTAAAGCTCATGCCAACATGTGAGTACCAATTTACTATTGTCATAAAGTAAAATATCAGACTGTTTCACTTGTCTAGATATGAAACCAATGGATGATTAATACAGAGTCAAAGCAACTTTATTTGGATTTGAACACATGGACTCTGTAGTTGCCTTTACTAGCAATAAAATTTGTTTTATGTCTTATCTCAGCTAAAACAATGTTGGACAGATCAGGTATGATAGAAAGATACAGTATTATATCTATGATACATTGATAATATCTATGATACATTGATATTTTGTACCATATACATTATCTTGAATGTGTATATGATACAAAATCATATCACATACACTTATCATATTGTCTAACATTTTTAAATTTATGTTGAAGAACATCGATGTAGTTTTGTATTAATTAAGGAAGAAGTCAAAACTACGGAACGCTAATGAGTACGGATTCACTGCTGCCAAGTGTTTATTCAAGACATTTATTAATGATACATACGATAGGTACTATTGCTGCCCATTTGATGATAATTTAAGTATACAAAAGCGTGGTGCTGTTGTATCTTGAATCGAGAGGTCAATTAAGGACATACTTAAAGGATTTTCCATCTTGTCTGGTTTACTATGACATCTAGTTGATGAGGTATATTGTTTTAATAGAAAAAGTATTTTTGCAATTTTTTGACTTTTTTGAGTCGCCACTAACTTCTATTTTCGAAATACTTAACAGATAAAATCATTTGAAAGTACTTTAAGGGTTAGGTAATTCCTATTATAGTCTTAGGAAGGTTTTAAAAGCACCTAATACGTCCGCTAACACGCGGTTACCCAACAACTAACAATTTGGCTAAACTTATATGAAATAAAATATTGTTTAGAGTGTTTTGAAACAAAGTAATTAATTTTAAAATTGCTTAGTGAATATTCACTCTTTTAGAATCGGTTTGAAATTAATTTTAAGTCGATAAAACGGTTACGATATTTGCGTGGATATGTATTCCTTAACCTTACAACTAACAGCAAATAAAGCAAATAAACAAACAAAAATAAGAGAGAGAGAGAGAGACAAAGAGAGAGAGAGAATGGGGTCCAAATCCGGATTATCTGTTCGCCTAGACCGATATTTGGACCCATTTCGGTTTTGGATTTTTTGGCCCATTTCTTTGTTTTGGGATTTTAGGCCCAATTACCTTGTACATGTCCTAGTCAAAGGATGCAACGAAAAAAATAATTACATGGGATTAGGCCCTACAACAACGGAATACATATTTCTGAAAATAAAATTTTGGTTTCACCCAATCTCTTCCTCTTTTTCCACTTCAATTCATTAAACTCCGGAGCATGTACAATTTGGAGGGGGCTTGACTCAGACAAAGGGAAGTTTGGAAGTTGAGCCTTTACGACTCTCGAAAATGCGGGATAGGAGTTCATGACGAACTCAGAGGTATTTTATATGAAAAATAAAGAGAACTAAAATTAGTATCTATCTGAAGTAGCTGCAAATCTTGCAACAACTCTAATGGGTAAAAAATTATGTCAGATAGGAAAATTAAGAAAGGAAATAATCGTATGTTGGTCAAACCAAAGGCAATCAATAATTTAGGTATGAATGGTCTTCGAGGGTTAATAAAACACCAATTGCTGTAAACTAATCTATTAGTATATATGCATTTTGTCTAGAAGATGAAGATTAACACATAATGTAATTCGAGAGAATCTAACAAAGATAATGTGGCAGCAAATAACCTCAAGTGAAAATAAAGGAAATCACAATATGTATTTAGATAACTCTACTGGTCAATGACATACAAATTTAGTGACAAAAATGAAAAGCAAAACAGATAAATAAACCTTGTTTATTATAGCATCTTCAGTGATTGGAGAATATAAAGAGATACACTCATTGGTTCGAACATAAGAATCAACAATAAAAGATTATAACATCTTCGGTGAGGAGTAACCGACATGGAATAAATAATGGCCTTACTGAAAATAAAAAAAATGCTAATTTAACCGTCGCACTTGCACTAATATATATGTCAAATGAAGGTTGTTACTTAACAAAATGAGAAGAACTTAACAAAATAGGAATATCAAGCGTATGAGACTAAGGTCAAACTAGTTCAAATTCCGGAAAAAAACGGATCAACATGCTCCAACCTTAAGATCCTCAAATATGGAATTTGCCCTACGAGGCTACGACCAAGCAGGGACATATGCCAACATACAACAGTACACACAAGAAAATTTCTTAGACTTCAAAGTATCAAGACATATCCGACTTGGATTCACATCAACTTCCATTCAAGCAACGCACACAAAAATATTGGAAGAAAGGATTTCTAACTATTCCGAAGCAGCAAACAGAGGCGGAGAGAGAGGAACAGTGACAACAGAGTACCGGAAATACTCGTGTCGACTCCAAAATTGGACTCCTTAAGCTAATATCTCACGGAAATCAACTCCAAAACCCACCTTCACTTCGAAACCTTACTGTATTCCTTAACAAAAATATTAGTATTGTTCTCTATTATTTTGTACTCTTGCTCTAAGAATTTCCAGAAAAAGACCCCCTTGACGGTAAATAAAAGGATATTATATACAAGAAAATTAGGGTTGAATCTACGGGGAAGGCGGAGGGAAAAAATGAAAAAAATCTCCATCCCCTTTCAAAAGTCAAACTCTTAATTGATAAAAGCCTACTATAAGAATTCATCTATTCTCACAAATGCAACGGGAAAAATAGGGGAACCGTTCGATCTCGAGGCAAGGACAAAGGCGGCTTGGGATTGCGACACCTGGAGGAAGAAGGACGATTTGAAGGTTGTAGGCTGCTGGAAATCGTACGAAACACAGAAGAACGCGGAAGAAGAAGACAAACTCCAACGCATAGGCTTCTTCCCCCTTACTACTTTTCCATCTATTGCCGTCAAATTTGACGTCGCGTGACAGTGACGAGGCGCGTCTCGGAATATGGAGGTTTGGTGGTCTCTCACGCGTGCTGTCGTTGCTTTACACCATGAGTTTCTGAGGTTTTGATGTTGGAAAGTTGAAACAGCGCTGAATGGCTTCTTTTGGGGAAAAAAAGTATTGGGTCGGGTTTGCAGAATAAAGTGGGATGGACGGGTCGGGTTTCTGGGTTATTTGGAAATAGTTATTGGGATGATTGATTTGGGAATTAGGGGATGCTAATTTATTTGGAGTGGCTGAACGAATGTGGAACTGGGGTTAAGGCTTAGGCTTTTGATAGGTACTTCTGTATTGGGCTGGGATATGAATTGCAGAATGGGCTGAGGTATTAAATTGGAGTGTTGGGTCAAAATTCTATCTTAATCAATAGTCCAAAATTCATTTATTCCAAATGTATCTAAAATATTTGGTACCTAGATAAGATGAATTATTATAAATTAATTAAATAAGCTTCTTAATTTTCACGAAATATAACAATCGACGTAATTATAAAAAAAGTAAACCGTTATATAACTAAACTAATTAGTAAAATTTTAAATAAAATAAAATCATTTGAGATGAATTTAGAATAATCATAAAATATATTACTTATATACATAATTATGTAGGTCACATGTAATATCTAAAATTATAAGAAATGTCAAAACTATTCAAATAATGCAATCTTTATATTTTTTAAATTATAAAATCAATCATTTTAAAAATATTTTTGAAAAGAAGTTCGTTAATTAATTTATGTCGGGGAGGATCAAAATTTGGTGTTAATATATACATCCTGGGGAACTTAGACGCTGAGTTCTATTATATGCTGGTTGTTGTTGTTTTAAATGATAGGCTCATTCGCATCTACAACTTATTAATGGGTACAAGAATAAAAGATTCGCGTGGTGAGATAAAAAGTTGGCGATTATGCTGTCATTTTTCCTTCATGATAGTGGTTTTTTCGATCAAACTGAGCGAATTGTCTGGTAATCATTGAATGCTTACAAAGACAGTCAAACTGGAATGCTTTTGGAACCAAACGTCACATTTAAAATTGAATTCACATAAAAAATCATGCAACAACAACATGATAGCTTGTAAGTATTAGCATGTCTTTTATTAAAGTTACAATGTATATTATTTCTATTTGTAATGTATATATTCCACTTTTTTAAGGATTTGCGGAATGTCTATTGATGTCTTTGCTGAGTACCTTAGTGATGGGATCCCTTTTCCCAAAATTGGTTTCCCTTCAGACAATCTGTTTACAAGATATGGAGCCAGTTTGTGGCAATATGATACTGAAAAGGCTAAGGCAGGATATATTAGTGAAAATGATAATCTCACATGGCCTAGAAGTCATTTCAAGCGACCAACTCAAGAAGATTTGATCAATGTTGATTAGATCTTAGACACTTTTTTATATTGTTATTATTTTTTAGATACATTAACATTAGCTTTAAACTTTTTTTATTTTTAGTTTTTCTAGATGTTTGTACCCAAGCATTACTGTTTATCTTAAAACTTGTTCTTTTGACATCAACTTTCAATTTTTTACATGTTATATATGAAGCACATTGATGTACAATCTTGTCGTATATAATTTGATACAAATATTAGATAGCGTATATGTATTATTTTATTAATCCTTAAACACACTACAACATTTATGCTCATTATTTCTTTTAGGAACTTATACTTTGGCACTTTTTTCATGCTATGATATTTTCTGCTCAAATTTAGGATTTGATTCCTTTTCACTTTAATAATTCAATGTATCAGATTCAATAAGTTATAAGGAAACACAACTTTACTATGCGGGTTGTTTATATCAATGTATTCTAATTTGTTGTTGGCTCATTCATTTAACTTGTGATACATTAATATTGTAGATTTGAAATACGTAGACTAATACAATTTCCATAATCAGAATACATTGTACATTATTAACAAACAAGCAATGATACATTATTTCAACACGTATTTTGGAACATAATGTTTTATAAAATCATACACAATGTAGAAAATCTTAACATTTCAAATTATTGTAACGAGATTTCACCGGCTAATAATAGAATTGTAATGTTTTATCAAGGTTAATTTGAAAAATTAAAAGCATAGCATGTAGTAATCTAAAACATAATGTATCATAAAATGTACCTGAAACATAAAAGCAGCTTTAACAAAGACTTCCATCAGTCTTCTTTTGGGAAGAAAGTACAAGTCCTTTTGTTGTGACCTTCTCCTCCACAATGTTCACAATGATTTGTGTTTTTACTTATATTTTTACATGGATTTTTCTATCTCTTTTTCCTTGATCTTGCAGCTAGCCTTTTGTATCTTGGTGGCAATAAAATTTCATCCAAAAAAAACCTCTTATGCTGACCAATCCTCCCTATCTGGCATTGGAATCATCAGAACTTCATATGTGTTTGCAAATACAGCTGGTTTATAATAGGTATGTACATCTATAAGGTTTTTCTTCTTGAAAACAACAAATGCATGCGCACAAGGTATCTCGTCTACCTGAAATCTCCCACAGTTACATATCTTCCTCTCAAGGCATACAATGTGTTTTCGCCACATTAAAAAACTATAAATTTAGCAGATTACACAACCTGTCCACATTATGCAAGACTCTCATAGGATATAAAATAAATAAACTTTATACTCATAAACAACCAAAGAACAACAAATTGCAGATACATTATAGTTTGTATATAGGCACATACCTATATTTTTAAATATTTAAAAGCATTCATAATTAACAACTCTTCAAATCTCTTACCCAATGTTTTCTTTGTATAGGATGCTATTTCTCTATTTTTAGAGTTCTAACAATCTAATAGAATTCTGACTTCTTCAAAAAATTTATTATAGGTAGTACTCGCGCTTCAACAAGGTAACCATTGATGCATTCTGCTATTTAGAATTCATCATTCTCCCCCTATTTACTGTTGCATGAACTGTTGACCACTTTCATAACCAACATTTTCAAGATACATCTTAACCCGATTGCCAATTTTAATGACTTTAGCCAACAATTACTCCAAATCCTCTTTCCTATAACAGTTGGCCAATTAATAGAACACATCACGTAGTACATTTTTGCTTCTCTTGACGCTTGTACATATATTTTTCCAAAGGTGCCAAATGCATGCAAAATTAAGAACATTTTGAAAAATAGTTCTAATTGTATTAATTATGCTTTAATTTATGCCTGATACAATACACATTTATTCCCTCTCCCCAAATGCACTTTCAAACTGTTGAAAGAATAATGTCTATGAACAATCATTTTCACTATCCACCACTTCATAAGCTAACGACAATATGCATCCTACTCAGAAATAGTGCACAAGTTTCTTACTTTTATATACAAAAATATCCATATATAAATTCTAATACTGAAATTATACATGCACCATCAAGCGTACTTGCTGATACAAAAGTTCCTTTGTAAGCTCCACAAAAATGTGCACCATCAACAACTACCGGTCTACACTAGTCAAACCCCCATATTAGTGGCCTTAATGGTATGAATAGATTCACGAACATATTTTCCTCCGACTTGTGCATCCGTTTATAAGAATTTGGATATATGGTTTCCAATATATATAGATATTTTGGCTATTGTCTATATCCATTTGCAAATTTCCCTCGTATCATCTCTAATTCGGGCTCCTTATCACGCCATGCTTGCTTGTATGAAATATCAATCCCATACAGTGCTCTTATATCCTCAATTACAGCATTTGCTGTATTAATTTTTTTATGATTGTGCAGTTTAGGCGATATCATAGGACTTATAAACCCAACTGTAGCTTGGACATGTGTTAATAACCTATACCTTATTGGACATGTATGCTCACTATTGAAGTACCCCACTTTGAATAAATCCAATTTCTTCCTAACAGTTGCATTGAATCTCCAACAACAATCATCCGATGCAGAGAATAACTTGTAGCTGTATTTTTCCAGATGCATAAGAAAAATGCATACTTGTATAATTTTACTACAATAATGTATCATCATTATTATACACATATCAAACATCATCAAAGAGTACAGTAAAATGTGTCAGTTACTTTATACTGATACATTAATCAAAACAATCATATGTTGATACGTTAACACATGAAATAATCTAGACACAATTAGTGTATCATAATTCTAGCCAGTAATGTGTTCTTACTGTTTCAACAAATCACAATAATATATTAATCAGAAAAATCATATGTTGACACATTAGCACATCAAATAAACTAGAAAAAAATATTATATCATAATTTTAGGTTGTAATGTATCCATACTGTTTCAACGAATTGCAGTGATACATTAATCAGAACAATCATATATTGATACATTAACATATCAAATAAACTAGACAAAGTTTCATACTTCATGTTATCAGATCTCTTTACTCTGAAACTTAATCATATTTTGTTTTTTATTTTGCCATTACAAATATCAGAATGGCTTTAAGTTTGTACAATTTATCCACTTTCACGTCAGTACTTTTGTATCAGATATGTAATTCGTCACCTCTAACTCTGTTAATAACAAAAATCAACATTTTTTATTCTACCAAGTTTAAAGCGAGTGTATCATGTTTATCACCTTGAACACATACAATTGAACAAGTTGATACATCAAAACTATCAATATCGCCAACATCCTTATAAATTGTATCAATACAAAGGGATACGTTCCCAATCCAATCTCATGTTTCTTCACCTCTACGTACAATCTTGCTTCCATATCAGTCCTTATAGTACTTGGAGAGAAGTTTCCATCTATAATGTATCTTATTTCAAATTTGTTTCTTGAATCATCAATATTCAACTCAGCCGCAATTGTTACGACTAGATTGATGAAAGAAACATATTCACCAACCAATATCCAACTCTTGTATCTTCCATATTTAATCTCACTCTCCCAAACTCAAGAATTCCTCAAAAAAATTGATATATTCATTAACTATCTGATTAAACTCAGAACAACAAGATTCTCTGTCGAAGTTCTCTTTGTTGAAACAGAGAAGAAGGTGAACACGATGTGAATCTTTAAATTTTGATTTGATTTGTTGGAAAAGAGAAGAAGATGAAGATTGGGAATAACGTTAGCGAAATTGATTGGCATGATTTAAGGGATTCAATTTTTGATTTTCCGTTTTTGTATGCCGTTTTTAATTAATAATGTATCTGCTCCATCTTTTTTAATGTATCAGTCCCTATTATTGTTGTATAAATTTTTTATATTATTGAGGGATTTTTTACTTTAAAAACATATAAGGGACAAATGGTCATTTTTCTCTAAAAGTTTGTTATTTTTGTCCTTTGCCCTAAATGATACTCTCTCTGTCCACTATTGTTTATCAGGTGTACTAAAAATTGTTGTCTCAAAATTATTTGTCAATTTAAACAA